GAATAAAAGTTGGTCTTAAAGGTGCCACTGCACTATTTTGGACCGGGGGCCGGGGGGGCTCTGCAACTTACCTGGCTGCTTCTTGCTCTGACTGAGGGCTGCTGGGAGCAGGGGGTGTGGCTTGTTGCATGTGTGTTGCATGTGCCCGCCCCCTGGGCTCCTTACTGCCGGAGCTTCGCTCCTGTGCGCTCCTGTAGGAAATGACCCCTGACCCTGACTACTTAAGGCAAGTGAAAAGAGCATGGTGGGTGACAAAATGCACGTCTGGCTCTGCTTTCAAGCCTGCCATTATTGTCGATTAGCCCCTTCCCTTTCTACCCCTCAGTCCTTCGGCACATGCAAGGAATTTCGGGAAGGAGTGGGGCCATCTCTCCATTCGCACTGAGTTTTGGAGAAAAAGAGTCTCTTCGTACCAGGAATTACATAAGGCTGGAAGCAGCCAAAACACATTCTTCTGAGAAAGAAATGAGATGCCATTTTTCCCTCGACCCCAAAGAGGAGCAAAGATGATGCTGCACAGACTGGTCAGAGTGGGGGGCTTCTCTCTTGAGATTTCTGTGGTCCTCTCTGAGGAGTGGGGAGGAGATATCTCACTTTAGGGGAGCAGACAGGTGGTGGCCACTAGAATTAAACGTATGGGCTACTGACCCAAGGGCCACACTAGGTTCACCAGCCCTGTGTTGGCAACTCCTGAGAGCTTTAGGGGGGGCGGAGCATGGGGAGGGGGAAAGTCACTGATGTGGCGGCATCACTTCTAGGTGATCAACTGGGAGCGATGCCACCGTCTCTACATCACTCTAGGAATTCCCTCAAACTCTACGGCAAAGACAATGTAGACTGGGGAAATTCCTGGAGCGTCATTAGGGTTGCCAGGCCCCTGGTCTGACTGGGAGTCCCCCCGCTTTTGTGGGGCCCTTTCTGCCACAGGCTGGCTAGCCGGTGGGAGGAACCCCACTCACAAATGTCCTTCAATGTGACCTAATGACATCACCTGGTTGATCTGAGAAGGAGTGGGGTCATCTCTGAGTTTTGGAGAAAAAGAATCTCTTCGTACCAGGAATTACACAAGGCTGGAAGGGTGATACCACCTGGGGGGTGAACTAGTTTTTGGCCCAAAACTCTACGGTAGAATTGGGCTCAAACCACAGAGTTTTGCCGTAAAACTAGAGCATCACCCCAGACGTCGACAGGATGGTGGCACTTCTGGGTGATGCCATCATGGCGCACACACCAGAAGATCCCAGGAAGGACCCTGGAGCCCCCGCCCGCAGCCAGGTAGGACCTGGCAACCCTAGGCATCATGGATGCAGCGACCGGAAGTGCAGTTTTCACATCTACAACGCCACCCCCCTTTTGTCCCACTGCTCAGTTGCCCAATTGTCATGACAGCGGGAAGGGGCAGGATGTTACCTGCCTCAGGTGGGCATCTGGCAGCCTTTGACCAGTGTCCTACATGCATCCTGGGCCTTCCGTATTTTGTTTTCCACTGCAGCCCCTTTTGTCCCACCGATTAAGGTGGCACTTGGAATGCAAATATTGGCCAGATCTCTTGCCTAAGCGATCCATGGGGATCCTTCCAGCTCCATAGTTCTATGATCTGCTATGGACTTTGGAACATACTTCTGGCTAACAGAGGGATGGATGAAGGTGGCCTTCCTTCTATTCCAATCCTACAGTGTTCTGTTTGCTGATCTAATACACGCCCATAGCAGTTAACATATTGCACAGCCTGAGTCTACAGCATAATGCCAGTTTGTTCCAGATAATTTAGCAAGCCCCCTCTGAATATGCATTGGATACCTCCTGCCTTTTCTGAAAAATTGTCTGTCAGGCTCTAAACATATGTATATCTCGAGATAATCATCTGCATTTGATACACGATTTGCTGCCTTTGTACTTTTCAGACCTGAAATGAAACTGTGTGTAGGAGACAAAACACCTGGGATTAGATCATGCTTTCAAGTTTCGTCCAAGCCTCTAACTCTGGAGAGTTATAACAAATGCCACTGCTGTTAAATCACTACCAAAAAAATCACATAAAACTATTATGAGATTTGATTCACCACTCAGTATAAGCAGATCATGTCTGTGTTGTTAATATATTGATTGTGTTTTTTTAAATACAAAACAACAACTCAGCTTTGTGGCGATACAGACAGTTGGTCTGTAGCAGTAGAAAAGAGCAAGAGTCCAGTGGTACATTAAGAACTAACAAAGTTTGTGGCAGGGTGGGAGCTTTTGTGAGTGATGTTAAGAAGTGAGCAATGACTCATAAAAGTTCATACACTGTCACAAATTTAGTTAGTGTTTAAAGCACCACGGGACTATTGCTCTTTTCTAATTCAATTTTGGATACTCTCCATTATCCAGTACTCCAACTTTACCCCTTGGGAACCAGCACTCTTATTTATCTGAAATGGATGGAATTATACTGCACATACGTAGTGTAGAATTCTACCCAATGTATTTACACAGTCGGATAATCTAATGGGCCCACAATCCAAGTTCCATGATTTGTGAAAACTAGGGCGTTGCCTTCTAGGATCAGGGCCTTTCCTGTGCTAGCTCCTACGTTGCAGAATGTCTTCCGTGAGGAATCAATAGTGGCAAGGGTAGCCTGTCTTGTTTCTCTTGCTTTTGTTTTAGTGATCTCGACAGAATTTTACAATGGATTTAATATTGTCTTTTTGTATGTAAGAATGATTTCGCATTTTTGCTGCTTTGGGGATAGAAAGTAGAACAGTGACCTTTGAAAATGATGTTGTAGAAGATGACCTGGGGGAAAACAAGCATCCCTGAAGCAGATATGATTTGAATAGGGATGAAGGTAGCTGAGATTTCTACTGACTCTGCATTATCAGGTAGATGGCCTAGGAGAAAGTTTGCTGAGTATGGTAGTGAACACAGCTGTCCATATGGCTCTGTATATGAGCCACAACAACCAAAACTGAGTGTCACATGCGAGAGAGTGCTCCCTCCCTTGTCCCTAACAGCTGGCTTCCAGTGTCTTTAATTCTGGTCCATCCTAGCCCATTACCTCTATTGTTTGCCACCGCCATTTTGGGGATTACGCTATGCAACATTCAGTCATATGTGCATGTTGCAGGTACGGTTGTCCAAAGGGCTGCTACCATGCTTGTTCATGTACAGTAGCCTGATATCTTTTGGAAGTTCCAGATGTGATGTTCCCTGTCTCAGACCTCCAGACTGAGTGGCAAGAGAGGCTAGATAGCTAGATAGGCACACTGACCTTTCTTCCTGTATCTACTCTTCTGCCACTGTCCTCTTTGATATGCAGATTGTGATCTCAGGGACCAATTTCCCTTTCCTGCTTCTCTCTCACTCTGAATGAAGACTTATTTATTTATTTATTTATTTGATTTGTTATCCCGCCCTAACCCCTAAGGGTCTCTGGGCGGCTTACAGAGAGTTCCTGGTGCTGGTCTTTGGAGTTCCCTTCTTCCGGCTGTAGCGATTCATTTCCGGCCAGGACCGATCGCACTTCCGCGCATGCTCCGCTGCGGCCTCTGTCCCGATGAGGCTTTGGCCTGCTGCGTTGCTCCGCCTCCGCGCCAGTTGGTCCGGCCCCTTCGCTCGCTCACTCCTTGCCTCGCCAGCTACCATTTTTCTCTGCCGCTGCCGCCGACCACTGCTTCGCTTCGCCGCTCGCTCGCCGCTGCATCACAGGGATGGGTGTCCCCCCCGCTCTAGTAGCAGGTACCCATTAGTCTAATTGCCCTTTAATGGGCTTTCAAGCTGCTGGGTGGGCGGGAGCTGGGACATAGGGCCAGGCGCTCACCCCGGCCGCGGTGGGGCTCGAACAACCGAAGCTGTTGGGCCAGATGTACGTGCAGGCATCTCTTACCGCCTGCGCCACCGCTCCCTTGCTAGACTTGCTCTCTACCATCACGCACCAAGAGAGGGACACGCGGTCCTCTCTTGGCACCATGAGGCAGATGGGCCTCTCGCCATCCGCCTCCATCCTTTGGCTAGTAAATTAGTGATCTATCAATGCTCTTTCCTATCCAAAGTGTACTTCTCAAATAAAGAGAGAAGTATTTCTCTTCTAAACTTGCAACATGGCTCTGTGTAAGCTTTGTAAGCTGAGTAACCTAGTAAAGTGACGCTCTTGCATTTGTAGCTTTATTTAAGCACTCTGCTAACTAATGGTGACTGGACTAACCACACCAGTTAACCTCAATAATATCCCCAAGGTGGCACTAGCAGAAGTCACAGAAATAGGCTGGAGACAGTCATGCATAAGGGCAGACTCTTTTTGTCTGTACAGATGTTTGGAATTTAAAAACAAACAAAGATTTAGGTCCTTTGAAGCTGGAGCTGCCAACCTCCAGGTGGGGCCTGGAGATCTCCCAGAATTACAACTGATCTCCAGAGGGCCGAGCTCAGTAGCCAGAACAGGGCGGTTCTGGACGGTGGACTCTATGACAACACCTCCCTGCTGTGCTCTCTTCCCTTCTCAAAACTCCACCCTCCCCAAGCTCCACCCCCAAACCTCCAGGAATTTCCCAAACTGGATCTGGCAACCCTAGTTGAAGCCCATTGCTCTGCTAGAATGGGATTTTTTGTTTTACAGCATATGAGAATCTTTAGGCTGAGATATGATGTTTCACCCATGGTCGAAAGCATCCCAGCTGAGCAGGACGTGAACAGGATTCCACATCAAAGGGTAATGCACTGTCTACTGTACTGCACTGTAAGTTCAGTTCTAAGCATGGTTAGTCCTTTCTAAGCCCAATGACTTCAACTGACTCAGAAGGGTATGAGTGTTTTTAGGTATGCACTGCCAGACTCAGATTAATTGTAATAATGACTGGTCGAATATAAATATAATAAAGACCTAAATACATACAAAAATGTTACCTACTGCCCTGGTAGCTGGTGTAAACTATTGTTTCGCTAGGAAAAGAAAATCTACCAGGGAAAATATCCTACATAAATTATAGGACAGCAAACTAGCATGCAATAAAGTCACCGCTTACCTCTGGTCATTACAATTCCTGCAAGGGATTTGTGACGTGCATGGATGGAAGCAAAATTGTCCGTCACCTCTTGAAACTTCTGTGTAACCATTTGATACACGGAATCGGCAAATTCCTGAAAAGACAACCAGAAGCCGTTCTTTCACTCAGTTAGACAGCAGCAATTGCTGGCGTCTGCCTAATTTATAACTGCTTGCCACCGACCTCCTCTTTCGAGTGGCCTCATCATTGTCTACAACAAGGCCACAGTGGTATAAAGGCACTATGTCAAATCATTTTATGGAATCAATCTCTGAGCATGCCTGCACAGACATTGTTTTGCTAGCATTTTGTATTGCTGGCTGTCATTTTGGCAATCTTGAGGACCACAACAGATCATGCCCAACTTGCGAGAAAGTCAATATGCCGGTCACTATCCTACTGTACAAGTATCTATAGAACTTGCAGGGAGACTTGGCCCTGCCCTAATGCCTTCCAAGTAATAGCATAAGCACAGCAGTTATCGCTGTCGTTCCAGGTTTCTCAAATATCTTCCCAGGTAGGGTTGCCAGATCATACAGATGACTTCCTTTGGAGAAAATGGCTGCTTTGGAGGGTGGACTTCATGGCATCATACCCTGCTGAGGTCCCTCCCATGTCCAAACCCC